TATCTATCTATCTATCTATCTATCTATCTATCTATCTATCTATCTATCTATCTATCTATCTATCTATCTATCTATCTATCTATCTATCTATCTATCTATCAATCAATCAATCTGGCTATCAGTCTTGGCGTGTGTAGAATCTTGTTCAGGCTGTTCGCTTTCCACAAGGAACACCAGAGAAAACTTCCCGAGGTAAGGAAGTGAGGAAATTATTGTGAAACTGACACGTCTCCTACTGTTTGCTGTTCCGGGAAATGTCCACTTGACGTCATTGTCGGGTGCTGAGAGAGTTAATCTTCTTGCAAGTCAAGTCTTTTTTATTTTTTGTTTAAACAAAACAACATTCTTTTAATTTTTGTCTCCATTTATTTTCTATTTCCTTCATTTTTCCATTTTTTTCCATAATTTTTTTTTTCACCCACCTTTTTATTTCATTCACCCCTCCTTTCATTTTTGATAATGCTGATTCCAAACATTTCTACAAAACAAATTACATTATGCATAATTAATAAATGTGCCAGCCCTGAAGTGTTTGGAGCAGCTCAAGATGAGGACGACAAGAGAAAACATCCGGAGATCTCCATGATGTACCCAGGCAAAGGAACAGGGCAGACCGAGAGCCTGATCACGCCCTCCAGTCATAAGTAACTGACACAACACGACCTCCAGTCATAAATAACTGACACAACACGACCTGACACAACACGACCTCCAGTCATAAGTAACTGACACAACACGACCTCCAGTCATAAGTAACTGACACAACACGACCTCCAGTCCTAAGTAACTGACACAACACGACCTGACAATCATAAGTAACTGACACAACACGACCTGACAATCATAAGCGACCTCCAGTCATAAAGGGCTGACACAAGATGTTAAGAAGAAATTGTTATTACATTTGATTCTGCTACTGTTCATGTCAGTTGGGAGTCTTTTTCTGCAATGTTGTTGTTGTTGGTTTCAATGGCCGAATGCTTTGGTAAGCTCGGGCTCAGAATGAAGAGCTACCTTTGTAAGAATTACAAAGTTCTATTTGACATTTTTGGCCATTTTGAGATATAAAGACCATGAGTTCAGAAACCAAATATTTTATCTTTAAAAAAAAAATCAATATTCGGAGTTGTTATCAAGATATTCAAAGAATTGCTTTGAAAGAGGCTTGGGGTGTTGTGAAACTCAAAGTCTTTGACTTCAATTTTCTCTAGGTACTGAGCAGGACTGCGCTCGACTCCGAAGTGGAAAGTCCGGGTTCGAGCCTCGGTTCGGACACGGATTTTTTTCGCGCCCTCCTGCCCACCCAGCAGTAATGGGTACCTGACTTCGAGTTGGGAAAGTAAAGGTGGCATGGAAAGGTACTGGCCTCCCTACCACAATATGCCGAAGGCCCAGGAAGCTGTCTCACTAACAAGGCAATATCC